GGGGGTGGTCTTTCACTACATTTTGCTTCTAGCTAGCCTGATGATACCTTTAGCTAGACTTGCCACTTTGAGCTACCCTTTTGCAACTTCAGATTTAGGGAGCCTTTTATTACTTTTAGCTACCCATTCACTGTTTTCAGCTGGCTTTTTGATACTTTTAGATTCTTGCAAGCATTTTGTAACTTTTTAGCTAGCCCATTGATTATTTTAGCTTCTAGATAGCCTGCCAATAACTTTAGCTTTCAGCTAGACTATTGCCACTTTTAAATACTCTTTTACCTTTTAGGCTGTCTTTTATTACTTTTAGCTTTTAGCTGACATTTTGATACCATGAGCTAGCCTTTTTCTTTTTGGTACTTTAGATTGTAGCTAACCTATTGGTGCTCTAAACTGTATTGTGTTTTGTTACTTTTAGCTTTTAGTTTGCCTCCTAATACTTGTTTTAGCTGGAATTTACCTGCTTTTAGCTTTTAGCTATCATTTTGCTTCTTTTAGTTTTTAGCTAGCTTTTGGCTATTTGCTTTAAACTATTTTTTCTTGACTTTTAGCTTGCTCAGCTTTTAGCTTTAACTACTCAGTTTCAGCTTCTTAAACTGCAACAGTCGTTCAGCGTTGACTCAGCATGTTTACAAAAAATGCAGTTTGTTTATTTTAGCTCGTCGTTGTCTTGTTGGTGGTCTGAACGAGCCAGGAGACGTTCTGTTAGGGATAATAGAGGCTCACTGTTGTATGATTAGAGGGCACTTGCAGACAAAAACACAAACTATTTCTATCAGCAGACAAAATTTAGCATCTTGTAAAGACCAAGTGGAATGTCACAGATGCTGACAAACCATCCAAAGCAGAAAAATAGCACTAGCTCTCTGAAAGCTGGCTCCCTGGAGCTGCTAAAAAGACAAAGTTTTGGTCAGAACAGGAGAAAAACGTGGAATACAAGGAGCAAAACTGACATTTAGCCTTGCAGCAAATTTAGACTTAATTCTATCCTTGCATGTGAAAATGTGCCTGGGTAGTAAAGCATGCCATGATTGCACCCTTTTCACTTTCACACTTGTGTTCATGAGCATTTGCTGTAGCAGCTAACCACGGGCCGCTCACCCACATTGGAGAGGCCTCCCTTCTGAACGATCTTATCGATGGCGGATCTCACCTCCCTGGAGCTGGAGTATGTCCTCAGACTGATCTCTGTCACAGGCTCATCACTTTGGACACAACAGCAAGTGGTCACAACATGTCTTCTCTCAAACAAAATAACTCAAAAAGCATGGAGGTTACCCATATTGGATGATGCCCATCATTGGTCCAGCTACACCTACATTGATGGCCTGAGCCACCTCGGACAGGAAGTCTTTCTGGATCTTAAAACGCCGCTTCCCGATGCTCCAGCTCCCGTCCATCAGGAAAGCAAGGTCCACCTTACAATCTGCAGAAAAGAAACAAAGTTTGTGGTGCGTTAAATGACACTTCTGTGGTAATGTAGGCCGTAGAATTATCCATCCATCCATTTTCTTCCGCTTATCCGGGGTCGGGTTGCGGGGGTAGCAGCTTAAGTAGGGAGGCCCAGACTTCCCTGTCCCCAGCCACTTGGGCCAGCTCCTCCAGGGGAATCCCGAGGCGTTCCCAGGCCAGACGAGAAACATAGTCCCTCCAGTGTGTCCTGGGTCTTCCTCTGGGTCTCCTCCCAGTGGGACATGTCTGGAACACCTCACCAGGGAGGCGTCCAGGAGGCATCCTAACCAGATGCCAGAAAATGCCGAGATGCCGTAGAATTAATAAATTGTAAACAAAAAAAGATGAATGTTTGACAGATGGTCAGTATGTATGTAGGTATGTAGGTAGGTAAAATGTTTTTTTTTTTAAAAAGAAGGGTTAGGTTTTTGTTGGAGAAATTCATTCTCTGACATTTACTCACAAGAACCATAATCATGGTAAGTGAAGATTTTTAACTGGTATTTTATACTTGAGTGTTTCCCCTACCGTTATACAGGCGTGGCGCATCGCCCTGTCAACAGAACTGAGCGCCCTGCCTACCAAACCGAACAGCGCACCCCCGTCAGCACTAACATGGCACTAAGCTAGCGGCGAGCAATACTGGCGCACTAGCTAAAAAGCTAAAGGTAGCGCTCACACTGCCTCTTCCCTCAAGCTGACACCCCCCCCCCCACCCCACAGTACAAACAGCATGCAGCTCAGACGCATCTCAGTCCCCCCCCCAACAAAAATCATGGACGAGATGAGCGCCCTGCCATGGCAAGTTATCTAGGGGAAACACTGAACTTGCAAGGTCTGATTTTAGGACGGGTTACATAAAATGTATACACAACGAAGGCCAGTCACAGAAAAGAGCCACGCGCTGCGCTATCTGCTCGCTTTTGCCCACGTCCACTCCCCATTGCCTGTGGTGGCGCTGCACCAAGAACTACTGAAGAAAACTACACGAAAACCTCTGAAGAAGACACCGAGCGCAAATTACTTCTGGAAATAAAAACAAAAATGGAGTGGCGTCAAACTTGAGCAGTTTTAGGAGTTCTGTTTTGTCAGTGGCTCATGTACCAAACAAACACTGGACTCAGCATGAGAAGAAGATGAGGCAGAAGATCATGGAGATTGTTGTTTTTCCACACAAGGCGGCTGAGACGGCTCCGTATGAGGTAAGAGACATGCACGTTTGTTTTGGTTGTATTTACACAGAATGTCCTGCGCTGTAGTCCACTTCCTGCTTTTGGAGCGGCCTCAGGTCCGCTTGCATTCACACTGCATTCATATCGCACTAGAGTTCACTTCAACTGAACCGAGACCTAGGTTTTTAGGTGGACCAGAGTTCGCTTTGTATCAGAGTTTGATTGCACATTCACACTTCCCCAAATGAACGGGACTTTCTAGGCAAACGGACTAGAGTTCAATTAAAGCAACTGAACAGGGCTGGTGTGAATGCACCTGTAGTTAAAGGGCACTTTTGTCCTCTGAACCAATAACCAATCCCATTTCCATTAATAATCCATGAGTTTGGAGCTTGGATATATTTTAACATCTTCCTCTTCACAGGTCTGCGATGGTCTGCTGGTTCTAAAGCAGGGAAACGGGCCCAGTAGGAATGAGAACATTTGAACCCTCTCCCCCTTTAAGACTAAAGGCAACATTTTAAAACGAAACAGACAACAGATTAAAAAAACTTTTTCATCAGAGTTCTCAAACTTTTGACAAAAAGTTAATTTATTGTGTTAGTATCCAAGCTTGAAAACTAAAATTGTTTGAATTTATGTGATGCAGAGAAACATGGAAAACTAGATTAAATCCATCAAATACAAGAGCCTAGTTCTGACTCAGGGACCGCCGGGGTAGAAAGGACTTAAAAAACCCTTTCTAGGTGGAACAAAATTCATTGAATATGATTTACTCTCAGGTATGCATACATAAATACACAGTTTGCTTTCTTAACACTGAAACTGGATGCAAACTAGAGCGATACTTTCAAAGTAGCGGTTTAAAAGATGCTGTACGTTCTGTGGAGGGGGACATACTTGGGTCTCCCTGTGGCTGTGGCGCAGTCTGAGGAGGTCTTGGTACCGAATCTGGTTCTCTAACACTGAAACCTGGAAAACAAAGTCAGTGAATTCATTGAGACAGAAATTACGCAGAATAATTTGCTCTTTTTGCTCCGTTTAAACAAAACGACCTTCAACGGTCTGACAAATGGAGAACACATGCTCATTTTTGCTGCCTGATGGTTTATATTTTTATCCCAAATGTTGGTCAGTGTTTGCTGTTACAAACTTTATGCCTCAGGGAAACTGAGCCATTTGACTTACACTTTAACTCCCTTCAATTACAGTCGGAGTCCAAACCCTGAGCTTCGGTTTGGATCTCCTGTCAGGACTAAGCATTTACTGGCAAAGTGACTCTTTTTTATTTAGAAGGGGTAAAATAAGAAGCAGAGTGAGCAAAGTTACCTGATTCATACGGGTTTGCTTCTGGCTTCCACACATCTGCTGGCTCCACTGCACAGATGACATTATATAAGCTCAGCGTTGGCATGTTTCTACCACAAAACGGCTTGTAAATGATTCAAAACATTCGTTGTAATTAAAGGTTAATGCATAATTTATTTATAAAGCTCGTTAGCGGCATCTTGCAACTTGGCTGTGAAAGTTTTTATTTTTCAACCGTTGGTTTTCACAGCTGGAATGATTATACAACACGTCAGCATTTCTTAAAAATAAGAAACGGGTGCATTAGTTTGAATCATCTATGCAAGGCTCAAATATATGCATACATCCACAGAAACTTTCAATGATAAGTCCTGAAGAGTCTAAAAAGTCTTAACGTGACAAGTTCGAGGCCTATTCACTTCTTGTTGGTGATCACGATTGACTGCAGCTGGAAACTTATTTTTGCCAGGACTCACTGGTTTGACCCAAACTCATCGGTCCCCCTCAGATGGATGCAAATCGGTTCAGATGTTCAGGAACCACAGAGACTTGAGCTTGAACTGGGAAGTCCTGGAACACCAGCGTCTCAGTCTGCAGTGAAACCCGTTTTACAGGTCTCTCTTGTAAACGAGTCCTCGAGGCTCAATGAGACTAACCTGTATAAATAAAGAATGAAAAAACAGGGACTGAAGAGGGCGCCGACCAAGAAAGAAGCTCCTGCTCCAAATGTCGTACCTTCGGACTTGATAGACGAGCCAAATGTCCTCTAGAAAAAGGCTTTACGGTCAGACGGAGCAAGGACTGAGCTCTTTGTTTGACAAGATGTTAGTTTGGGGGGTTGAAGGTGGCACTAGATGTCAAAACATGGCAGTGGCAGCATCATGCTGCGGTGCAATGCACAAAGAGGATGGACTAAAGAAGGTCTACCTCCAATATCTACAGTATACACGACTCAATATCAAACCATCAGCTGTGGTTGAGACTCGGACTTAACTGTTGTTCCAAAAGGACAACGATCTCAAACGGATCGGGTAAAGCACGTCAACATTCAGCTTCTGGAGTGGCCTTCTCAAAACCCAGACCTTAACTGGACTGAAAACCTGTGAGCTGGGACATCCAGGAAACTAACCAATTTAAACGAGCTCTAGCAAGAAGAAGAAGAAGAGAAGCCAAACCAGTCGGAACTCCACCAGGAACTGGTTGATGGAAAGAAAAAGACCAAGGTCCAGGAGAGACGTGTAAGCAAATCTTGGTGGGTGTATGCATTTATTTAGGCACGTATGTATAATTTTGACCCTGTATGGATTGGGGTCAAATCAAACATGTGCACCCAGTTCTTGTTTTAAAAATCCACTGAAGTATTTTTACTCCACACCGGAAAGTCGATTAAAGTTCTCGCTCATGGGTGGATGTTCTGACCCCAGCTGTGTGTAACGGGTCTGTGTGGAGGCTCTCCTGCTGCTCACCTTTACTGTGGCCGGTGTCCAGGGGCATTTTGTGGCTGACGTCCAAGTCGGTGGATCGGGGGGCTAAAAGTGAAAGGATTTAAATGTTTACTTTTGTTGGTACTTTTGTAGTGCTTTCTGAAAATAGCTCAAATATAAAGTCTTTGATTTGAAGGCTAAGCTGTCCACCCCCCCCCAACAAATTACATGTAACTTGGAGTGGTAGCTTCCTGCTGCTCTGTTGTATCTTGTCATATCCCAAGTCAGTTCTGTTCTTTAGTGTGAAAACTGCGGCTGAAAACAACCTAAATACAGTTCCCTATTTGTAGCGCCTAAAAGAATGGTGAAGAATTTTCATCTCCAGTCAGATAAACCTTTTAATGTTCGTAACTGAGCAATAACTAGAAGAAATGTGCTTTATTGTGTTGGGTTATACATGCACTTCTTCCCAACCCATTCATATGACAAATGAAGACTTGTTAGTGTCCCCCCACAAAAAAACCAAACAATGAAAACCACTTACGGTAAGGTCCAAAGCTATACAACCAGCGCTCATATTCTGAGATATCAGGCCTGAGATCCCGAGCTGGAGGAGGACGTTACAAAACCAGTTAGTGTGGAAGAAAAGTTAGAGGTGAAGCACGTTTCCGCCGTTGTGACAGGTCACAAGTCTCCCCCAGCCAATCCAAAACCAATGAAAACATCAGCTTTTTGGCAGTTTCCCCCTAACTTTCACATGCACTAACATCCTGCCCCGTGCTCCTCTTCTACACTTCAAAGAACGTCTCATATGGCAGGCAGATGGCATGTAAACACTGTCCCGAGGGACGGCTTGCATGTTCTTCCACATGGAGCCAATTCAACACGTTCATGGTCAGCAGATACCAAAGGCTATCAATCCCGCGAGCATGCTGGGTTTACCCATGCAGCACAGTTGGATTTGAGGTGTGGTAAAGAGAGTCTCGAATTCTTAGAAAGAAGTGAAACGACTTACCAGAAATCTCTGATGTGTCTGTCTCGCTCCAGGAGTACCCCGAGTCTGGAACTGCGTAACTAACATCTGAATGTGCAGCAGAGAAGGTGGAAGCGTCAGCAACTCTCTGAGCCACAGCCTCGAAGCTCAACTACAGATAATCCCAGATTATAAAAGCTAAAGTATGGCAACAAGCACATAAATTCTAAATGCAGCACGGTATGTACCAGGTATGTACTTTGTAAGTTTCTAGTACTTACCAGGTACGTACCTGAAACTTACCAAGTATGTACCTAGTGCTTACTTGGTATGTATTGGGTACCTTGTACTAACCTAGTATGTTCTTAGTACATACAGGGTCCTTACATGCCATTTAATTTGTACTTACCAAAAAAGGTACCTACTGTAGTACTTAGAGGGTACATACCTTGTATGTACCTAGAACTTACAGAGTACATAATGAGTAGTGTTTATCTGCTACATATTGGGTACATATCTGGTATGTGCCTAGTACCGGTACTTACAGGGTACATACTTTGTAGTTTGTACTAACCAGCCCAGGTAAGTACTTAGTTCATACAGAGTCTGTACATGATGCTTCCATGGTATTTATCAAAAATGTACTTTGTACTTTTTTTCCCCAACCTTTATTGTGCAGGTTAATCCCGTTGAGCCTCGGGGACTCTTTTATAATTACAATTCATTTACTCATTTACTTACCTGATATTCACTCTGCATGTATCAGGTATTTACAGGGTACATACTGTATTAGTATTAATATTTACAGTACACTGTAAATACTAAGTACTGGTATGTACCCTGTAAATAAGCTACTTGGGTACCCAACTGGTTCTTACCAAAAATGTATCTGGTACTTAAATGGACAGTACTCTGTATGCACCTAATGCATATTGGGTATGTACCTGGTACTTACCAAGTGTGTGTAGGTATGTAGGTGGTACTTAACAGTAATATATGTACCTGACATGTACCACGTACTTACTGAATATGTATCTGGTACATACCTCATATTAATAGAATACATATCTGGTATGTCCTGAGTACATACCTTGTACTAACCTGGTACATACCTGGTACTTAACAAGTGTGTACCTGATGGGCACTAGAAAAGTACTTTATACCTACCAGCTATGTACAGGGTACTTATAGGGTATTTATCAGGTACATACCTAGTATTGTATTTACCATAAAAATACCTGGTACCTACTGGATCTGTACCAGGTGCATACCTGGTTCTTACATGGTACATACCTGGTACTTATAAAATACGTAACTTGTACTAACCCAGAGTACATATTATGTGCATACAGTACATGATTTTTATGAGGACAAAGCTTTATTATTAAGTGACTTGTTACCCTGTACTTACAAGCTACATTCAAGGTACTTACCAAGTACATACTTGATAAATATCCTGACAGTACAGTACTGGAAACCTACCCAGAACCTAGTACCTCATATGTAACGGGTTGTATAATTTATTGGTATCTGCCTTCAGAGATCTGAGGAGACCAGTTGTTGGAGGTTTTGGAGAAAATATGTAAACCCAAAATGACAATGTTTTTGTTTGTTTGTTTGTTTGTTTGTGGTACCTGCTGGTCGCCGTGCTCCAGGGAACCAATCAGGCCGAGCGAAAGAAGGGGGCGGCCAATCCCTTCTGGGAAAAGCTGCGCAGAAGATCAGACAGTTGCGTTCAGGAGGAACATTTTCATTAGAGTTTGTCACAAAATGTTTGTCAGTGAAATGTTAAGTTTTTTTTTACTTTATGAGTAGAAATGCAGTAGAAACTCAGAAAGACTAAAAAAAAAGTCTACTTTTTTTATCTGCTGTTTGTGGTTTCACAAAAACACAAACTTTTAACTTTGAGAAAAACAAAAACAATCAAAAATCAAAACTAGGAATGTGACTGAACTCTTGAGGTCCAAACAGCTGAGCCAGACCACAACAGTGAAGCCCCTTCTGTCACGACCGACTGGACCGTGTCAGCACACTTCAGTTGACGGCCCGTCTGCGGCCGACGCGCTGCTTAAACAAACACACGGCCCGGACCTCAGGTTCCCACACGGGGTCAGCTCGAGAGCTGGGCCTCTGGTGGCTGCCGCCCACTGAAGCGTGCACGTATTTTTATAAAGCTGGTGTCAACCCAAGGCCAGTTTAGATAGCATGCAGAGATCAGGCTGATCTGGTGCTGGTCAAAGCCCGGTGCTGCGCAGCAGACGGAACCGCTGGTCCGTTTGTTAAAACTTCTTTAAAAGGAATCGATCAGAATATGAGACAGATTACTGGATGATTCTCATCCTGGTTAAAGCTGTTTAATTTGAAATGTACAACGTTAAAACCATAGTTCAGCTCCTCTGGAGTGGGTTCTGTGGAAGGTTTATAAACAGTATCTTACCTGTTGGAGATGGCACCTTGGATAACCACATTTTGAAGGAACAAAGTTTAATTCTCTAACAGCTTCACTGAGCTGGACCAAGACCAAAGTGCATTTACCTCAAACAACTCTATCCATCCATCCATCCATCCATCCCTCCCTCCATCCATCATCCATCCATCTATTCTTATATTCATCCATTCCTCCATCTCTCCCTCCCTCCATCCATCTATCCCTCCATCTCTCCTTCCCTCCATCCATCCATCCATCTATTCCTATATTCATCCATTCCTCCATCTCTCCCTCCCTCCCTCATCCATATAACTCTCCCTCCATCCATCTATCCCTCAATCTCTCCTTCCCTCTGTTCATCCATCTATCCAGTCATCCATATAGCCCTCCATCCATCCATCTATCCCTCCATCCATCCATTCATTCATTCCTACATCCATTCATCCATCTCTCCCTCCCTCCATTCATCCATCCAGCCATCTATCCATTCATCCATTCATCCATTTATCCATCTATCCCCCTTTCTCAATCCCTCTGTTCATCCATCCATTCCTACGTCCATCCACCATCATCCCTCCATCTCTCCCTCCCTCCTTCCATTCATCCATCCATCTATCCCTCTATCCCTCCATCCATTCATTCATTTGTCCATCCCTTCCTCCCTCCATCTATTCATCCATCCAGCCCTCCCTCAATCCATTTGTCCACCCATCCATCCCTTCCTCCCTCCCTCCCTCTCTCCATCCCCCTCTCTTTCACTCCATCCTATCTGTCCATCCATCCATCCATATCTTCCCTACTTGTGAAGTTATATCCTGGAGGCTGCAGGTCCAAGGAGGACATCAACACATCCCTCACCCCTGCAACGTTTCCAGCTTTTGGAGAATCTCAAGTGTTCTCAGGTCAGAGAGGATACCTAATCCCACCAGTCAGTACCAGGTCTTCATTGAGGTCTTCTCTCAGTGTTTGAAACAACCACAGGGAGGCACCCAGGATCCTAATCAGATGCTTCAACTCAATACACTTCTTCTTTTGGCTACGATTCATACCTCATGACCAAAGTGGAGGGTTGGAACATAAACAGTTTGCCTTTCAACTCAACTCCTCCTTCACCACAACAGATGGAAGCAACACCCTCATTACTGCTGACAAAGACCTGACCCTTCATTCTATCTTCTACCAGTGAACAAGACTCCCAGAAAAGACCCACCCCAGACCCTGAACAGGTATTCCACCTTTTCCTAGTTGAGAACCATGGCCTCAGACGTGGAGGAGCTGACTCTGATCCAAGCTGCGACCCACCCCAGTGCACGATCGAGGTAAAGGCTTGAAGACGACATCTGAACCACATCATTTGCAAAAACCAGAAATTAACTGCACCTCCATGAAATCCTGACAAAGTCCACACTGCACCGGGAACAAGCTCGACTTTGTGCCGTTCTGCAACTTAAGACCGTAATCCACTTGAGTTTTTGTCCCTTCTTGGACCAACTGTTGGCTTGTCAGTCCAAATTAACCATTAATTCTCCAAACCAAGGTTGTTCAAAGAGCTTTCTTCAACAGGTCAGGTATTTGTTGTCTCGTTACTAACTTGTTTAGGTGAGTAATATGAAATGTGGGCCAAAAGTCATGAGTTAAAGCAGTTTTTCATAAGCTAGGCTAATCTAGACAATCACTTCAGACAATCATTGCTAAAATCTGTTTGTGGCCTCCAGGTTGAGTGAAAAGTAGAAAATTCTTATAAAACTCGTCAATCCGAGGGAAGTCCGAACGTCATCCAGTACCCTGCCTTCCAGTGAACTCTGGGATGCACCTTCACCTTCAAACTCCACCTGAAGGAATTACCTCCAGGAGATCCATATCTTTAAATCACCAAATCAGCTCCAGCAAACTCTAAACGGGCCAGCTTCACCTTTAATTCTGTAAATTGCATCCTACAATCAGCCGTCGCGTAAACAGACACGGACCGGTCTAATTTTAGGGGATCCTTGGTTTTTGCATTCCTCGGAGCGCCACACCTCGCCTGGTTCGAGGAGCGTTTGGTCCATAGCATGAGTGGACCACGACGTGGACCAGGTCTCTGTGGGAGCACCACTGGTACCACTGCTTTCATCTCTGTAAGGGAGGGGACGAAACCGCATGGTATCTGTCACAAGATGTCCATAAAACTGACAAACCGGGCCAATTTAATCTAAACGAGACGGATGACTGATGACATAATCTCGTGAAACTCAACAGATTTAAAGAACGTGATTTATTTTGTTCTGAGGAATGAAATCTGAGCGTCTGCTTGTATCTGCTCACACTGTTTATGGACGACTGGCCTCTCGTCAAACCGCAGCATACCACAAAAGGTAAACATTAGTGCTGCTTTGTGACCCGGGCTTTACGGCTCTGGCTCGTTTGATCTGGTCTGCCTGAGTCGACGTGTCTGAGGACTCCCGCTCGGAGTCAGCGGACACTTACCGGAGTTGGACTGGCTCGCAGTCGGAGTGCGCTCGGGCGGGGCAGGCTGGACCCTGTTGAAAGCTGCTGGAGGAAACGTGCAGAAAGAGAAAGAGAGAAGAGCTTCAGTTGTGGGCCTCCGTCTTCAAACGCAGCCCAGCTGTTTTCGCTTTGAGGAAAGTTAAAAGCTTTTTTTTTAAGATTTTCTCCACAGTGTGACATCATAAACAAAGGATATACGACGGGCGTGTTTACAAGCCCCAACGCTGCTTCATTTGACCCTTTTCATCCCGTAAAATGGTTCGAATGGTTCCTGTTACCTGGTTTTTATCTGTGTTTGTGGGTGTTAATGAGGAGGCTGACCTGGACCGACGGGAGAAGCAGGCTGCCTCCTGATGGACGACCCCACCTCCGTCCTGCGCACACCTGTAACTACAGGAACGGAAGACATGAAGTCATATTGTTTATTTCCACTAATAAACATCTCAAACTTCAAAATCCTCAGGGCTTTATTATCACCTTCCATTTGAATTAACTATTGCAGTCAATTCTGTTTGTTAACAAAATATCTAACGATACACTGGATGGATTTTAACGACACATTCAGGATTTTATCACTGGATGTAAATTACATCTGATTAACATTTGGAGTCAACCCAATTAAAGATGACTGCCACAGCCAAATGACTTTAGAAAACACACAAATGGCTGTAACTTGAATATTTTTAAAGATATTGAGCTATAATGTGGCGCGATACAACATCTAGCCCAAGTGCAGCTCATTGCGCAAGATATTTGTGTAAAACTTTAGCGATAACTGCCAGAGTGAACCCGGTTCGTCCGATAGCTAAACCACCAAATGGATTTAAATCGAACCGTTACAACGTAAACATTGGATTTAATCCCACACCCGATTTACTTTTGGCACCAGTACAAGATGGCCGCCACAGCCGATCAAACGTAGGCTTCTCAAAAGGAGCTAAAGCTCAGTGAGTTTAGCAGATGCTGAGCTAAAACCTGGTGTAATAGTAGCCGACACATAATCAAATAAACATTAGTTAAGGTTTGATGAAAATAGATAAGAGTATAAAACGTTGGCATGGAAGGTGGCAGGTGATTTACTCTGCAAATACTATGATTCGATTAATTTCATTCATTTCCTCGCTCTCGCCGTCTGCTCTTCCCCACGAGCGCCTGTCGTTTCTCGTTAGCGTCCTCGCAACGAATCCCACCACGACTTCTTTGTTCTCCGCATGTTCACAGTCGCCAGTCGTGTTTTTGTCCTCCACACGTCACGCCCGGTTCATCGGGCCTCGTTAGTTCTGTTTTTCTTTCCTGTGGGGGGTTTCTGAACCTTGGACTACCTGCAGCAGCACGTTCTTCTGGGCCCAACCAACACTCTGAGCAGGCATTAAGTACTCAACAAAGAAAATTTTAATTTTTTACCATTTTAAAAAACCTTCCTATCGGATGATAAAAACATTTCTACTCTATATGATTCAGTTATGTGATCTGAGACTTTCGAACATGTAAAACATGCAAAAATCTAATGTTTGAGCCATCTGGAGGTGAGCAACAGAACCAGAGGTACAGTAATCCAGCTGGTCGTGGTCTCAAAGAACTGTCTCGGATGGAAAAAGCGTGATGTCATCCCCTTTGACCCCCCAGGTTTGTGACGATATTTAAAAGCCAAGCAGATCCCAGAGCAGAGCTGCCATGCAAAGTAAAACAACACGAGAGAACAAAGAACAGGAGGTGGTTTACCTGCACTGGAACGTTGTGGGTATCTGTTCGGGTAGGGACTTCCTCTGAACGCTGAAGAAATGTCTTTGTTTAGTTTTACCAAGACGCCGGCACATGCAATAAACAAATAAATGTTGACGGAGAGGATTTACGTACTGTACCTTGGCTGGGACTCTTTCCTTGGCCGTTCTGTACGTGTCCTGCACCAACCGCACAAGATGAGGCAAATTCAGACAAAACATTCAGATATGAAACTCGAACGCTACCAGTTACAACTGGGACAACGTGTAAAATCTCATAGTCCTACATTTATTCACAATAAAACAAAGTAAACAAATCAAATGTTTACACTAAGAAACTGACAAGTCTGGGGGGAGGGGAAGAACATTTTGAATTTTATAGCAGCAACACATCGGAGTAAAGTTATTCAAAGTCCAGGTTTCCCTCCTCTCTTCTTTAACAACAGTCTGCAAACATCCAGGACCTGAGGAGACCAGTTGTTGGAGGCTTTAGAGGACTTGAGGAGACCAGTTGTTTGAGGTTTTAGAGGACTTGAGGAGACCAGTTGTTGGAGGTTTTGGAGGACCTGAGGAGACCAGTTGTTTGAGGTTTTGGAGGACCTGAGGAGACCAGTTGTTGGAGGTTTTGGAGGACCTGAGGAGACCAGTTGTTTGAGGTTTTGGAGGACCTGAGGAGACCAGTTGTTGGAAGTTTAGGAGGACTTGAGGAGACCAGTTATTTTAGGGTTTGGAGGACCTGAGGAGACCGGTTCTTGGAGGTTTTGAAGGACCTGAGACCACCAGGTGTTGGAGGTTTTGGAGGGAATGTTACGTCCTTCCAGTCTGATGGGGGACTCTAGCTGTTCAACTGTCCAGATTCTTCTTTGCTGGAAAGGAGCAGATGCTCTAAAACATGTAGATACTTTTCTGAATTAATGGAGCCTTTACAGATGTGTAAGCTGAACATGCCAGAGGCACTAATGTACCCCCATACCATCAGAGAGGCAGATTTTTTGAACCATGACTGATAATAGACTGGATGGTCTCTCTCCTCTTTAGTCCAGAGTTTCCAAAT